AAAGAATTCAATTCTTTTAAATAAAATCTTAAATTCAAATATTATAAATTAAAAATAGGTATTAGGAGAATTTGTTTCTTTATAGTATTTGACCCAATTCAATTTTAGATTAATTGGGTCTAATGTGACTTTTAAATAACAAAAAATTTAGTAAAAAAAAGACTATAAACAATATAATATTAGTTATAAGCTATTAGTTGTTCGTAATTAACATTAACTATCGGCTTGGATGTGCTCTAATTGGCAAAGTGAAACAAAACAGAGTTGATTTATTAAATACTAAAGGTTAAATGCTCATTTTGGTCCCTCAACTTTATTGGTTTGCACATTTTTGGTCCCTAAAGTATTTTGTGCACATTTTTTATTCCTCAATTCTAAAAAATGCACAACGTTTGTTCTTCCATCAATTAGGGCCGTTAACTCCTCCCACGTGGCATTTTTTATATTTTTTTTAATGACATGGAAAAGATAACTTAAAAAGGTATTGATCTAGAATTTTTTTTTATGACATGTAATCTTCTTGCAATTCAAACGCGTCAAAGCCCCTTCAATGGGTCTCACGTTGCCTGCAAACCATCGATAAAGAAAGAAAGATGTCTTTTGGGTTTCTCTTTCAAGAGTAAAAAAAATCTAAAGGAACAGAGGTTTTCTTTGAACCCAAACCTGGATTTCCTTTAATATCCAACACAACCTTGCCCCTTTCTTGATAGACATTACAATTTTTTCTCAGCAACCAAACAAATTGAAACCATATTCTCAGCATCCAAACACCTAAACTGTATAATTTTCTAGCCAAGCAAATGAAAACCCACTAAAAATTGCTTCTTTGCTCATCAGTCACTACTTCTGTTATTTCCATTGCCGGCGATGTTCTTTCCATTTTGAACATTAAAATCATTTAGACAATAGTTAGGAAATATGAAGTAAAAGGATCCCAAAAATCCCTCACAACTTGCAATTTGCATAAACTCTTCGCAACAAATATATAACAAAAAAAAAAAAGAGTGGAGTTGGGTTTGAGGAACCCAACAAATTTGGGTTCCACCGAACCCAACAAATCTGAGTTCGACGAAACCCAAGAGATGGGTTCCATTGAACCTGAGCTGGGTTCCCTTGAACCCAGATTAGTTGGGTTTGAGGGAACCCAGCAACACAGAGGAAGAAGAGGAAGAAAGAAAAAGAAGAAAGAAAGGAAGATGGATTGAAAGAGGGGAAGAAGATGGATCAAGAAAGGGGGATAGGGGTATTAAGGTAAATTTATAGTTTTTTTTTATTAAAAATATAAATACTAATCTAATTTGGTATATGAGTTGGTATTTTTATTTTCAATTTATATGATGTGTTATTGCCATGTCATAAAAAAAACTAAAAAGAAATGTCACCATGTAATTTTTTAACTGCCATGTCACGGATAATTGACGAAAGATCAATATTATGTATTTTTTAAAGTTGAGGGCTAAAAATATATACAAAATACTTTAAGGATCAAAAATGGGCAAACCGATAAAGTTGAGGGACCAAAATGAGCATTTAACCAATACTAAAATGTTATCTATTTAACGGAACCAAATTTCGGTTTTTTTTTCCCTTTTTCATTTTCAATAATTATATTATTTTTTAAATAATAAAAATATTTAAAAATCCCAGATTGATAAAGCCTCCCGTTGGGCCATTGGGTCAATTAGAAAGACTGGACCTGAACTTGCGTTACATTACATCTTCTTCAGCCTTACAGTTCTACTTCTAGCTCATATTCTAGAGTCCAACAATATCCAGGCATTGGATTTGCAAGTTGTATCAGCCCTCATGTTCTTCGTTGGCTGGACCTCACCCATAAAAAGATTACCACAGCCCACTTTGCTCCCATCCTCAACACCGATGCACTAACATTGTTCTTAGATCTATTGATACTGATAAAATCAATTGGAGTAATTAGAATTTTATTAATAAGAATTTCATTAATGATAAGAGAAGTACAGAGTTTTGAGATACAGTGTGCGGTTTCCCAATCATTTTTTGATCCTAGAGGCCTTATACCCTCACTAGAGATCTTTTCCTAATCCTCACATACCCAAACCTATGTATAAACTTTTTTTTTTTTGAACATGGAGAAATGTGAAAGATGATAGATTTTTTTCAAACCGTTGGTGAAACAAATCTATGTATAATTTAAATTTAAATATGCAGAGAATTTCTATAAAATCTATTTTGACCATATGATTTTAATTTTCTACTAATCTTAATTTACAGGTACAAGACGTTGATAACTAAAGAATTGCTAGATTCGATTACGCACACTCTGAAGATGCTCTTCAGAAACATGTACGGACATGCCTAAGTGACCCGGTCACCAACGGCGCTACTATAGCTTGCTCATCTAGCATGCCATCTACTCGGGAAATGGGAGCTGCTGTCTAGATTGGCAATATGTCATTGGGGCAGAGACAGGACATATATACCTGCTGTTTCCGTTATCTTGAAGCGTGAACACAAATGTTATTTTGTATCAAAGCCAAGGTTAATGACATGAATTTTTTTTTTTTCGAAAATAGGCAATGGAAAGCTACTGACGTTTTTTTTTTTTTTTTCTTTAATAAATTACAACCTTAAGGTGAAAGAATTGGAAATTTAACTTTTTAGGTTAAAAGGTGTATCTATACTGTGACTTATAATAATCGAATTAACAAGGTTTAAGTGTGGTTATTTATGTGATTGATTTTTTAAAAAATGCATAAAATTTATAATTTAACGTGTATGGAATATTTGAGGTTTTAGATTGTTTTATGATTTTAAAATATTTCATGGTTTCTTGAAGAGTAGATTTATCGTCGTAGTAAAAATATAAATAACATGTTATTTTTAGGATACTATAACTTTATAAAATACTATAACTTAAAAATATTTAGAAGATAAAATAAGATAAAAAAAGTAAAAAAAAATATCGAGAAACACATTTATTGAGCAAAATGATATAAATAAGACTTTTGGTCTTATAACTCTTATTTTTAGGTTAATGATAAAAATAAATTAAGTAATTATTATGAAATAATTTACTTTTAAATAAGATAATTAACTTACAATAGCTAGTTTAATTAAATTTTTAATAAGAAAATAAATTTAACTTATAAAACATATTATTTTATTTTTTATTAATTTTTTTTAACAATAGTAAAATGATATAGAAACAAAATATACCATAACTTCAAAATCAATTAATTTAAAATTATATGAAATCTCATATATATCACTTAACTCAGGCACATAAAGACAATATGAGATAAGTATCCCAGAATTCTATATATACCACTTAAAGTTAAATATTTTATAAATTAAAATATTTTTTTTTTGAAAAGCGAAAAGAATTTTATTAAGTGAGTACAATGGGTACTCAAACCCATAGACATCAATAAACAAATTACATCCAGGAAGTGGGTCAAAACACCAAGATCCCCTGGTATTCCCAGAACAGGAAACTTGGAGCTCAACACCCCATCTACTCTCTACTTCCTATTTGTCAAGCAACTCACAGGGTTGGTAAACCATTCTAAGAGGGAAAAATTTTCTAATTTCAACATAGTTCTAACCCAATGGAATGATCGGTTTTGTACAAGTTCAAATAGCGAGTCCTCATTTACCTTCTTGTGATGAAAGGCTGTTTCATTTCTACTCAACCACAAATGACCATACTATTGTGAACCATAACATATTCCAGCCTTTTTTCATAATTTTTGAACCCTTATGCCAGCTGTGTTGGTTGTAAACATCAAGACAAGTATTCCCAAGAACATAACATAATCCCCACCAATTTAGACATTTAGACCATAAATTGAATGAGATATTGCATGACACAAAAAGATGATCAATATTTTCAGGGGACTGATCACACCAAAAACAGTTTATACCTTGGTTGTCATCCAAAATGCCACGCTTTGCCAAGTTGGCCTTTGTGGGGATTTTGTCAAGAAGCATTTGCCATGAAAAAGCTGCCACTTTTGAAGGGACTTGCACACTCCATATATTTTTGTACTCCAACAGTGTACTTTCTTCTTTCTTAGCCAACTGCTTGTAAGCTGACCTTGTGGTGTAGTTTCCTTCATTGTCGGGCCTCCATCTCCAGGTGTCTTTCACATTCTGCACTGGTTTTTTGTGATTTATGGTCCCAATCAACTGTTGTATTTTTTCCTCCTCCCATGCTCTAGTTGATCTTCTCCATTGGAATCTCCAGTACCAGCGTCCATCAGACCAATAACCTCGATCATATATGCTGCAATTTTTGTCTGTGTCCAACAAAAACAGTCTTGGAAACACATTAGCTAAAGAATCCTCCCCCACCCAAACATCTAACCAGAACCTGACACTCTTCCCGTCCCCTAATTTTAAGTTGAAATTTGAGAGCAACCACCCAGCCTTATTACCTGATCCTATATTCAATTTGCAAATATCATTCCACCATGGCGATCCTATTCCCCTACCCTATTCCATCCATGATAACCAATTTCCTCCTTTGCCACCATATTTCTCTACCAGCACCCTCGACCACAACCCCTTGTCTCCCCCTATTAATCTCCCCCACCATTTCCCGAGCAATGCCATATTGAACCATCTAAGATTTTTCACCCCTAACCCTCCCTCTTTTTTTTCGTAGCAGACCCTCTCCCATGCTACCCACGCTATCTTTCTACCTTCCCCAACTCCACCCCATAAGAAACTTCTCCTAATTTTATCGAGCTCGCGGATTACCTGTTTAGGGAGAAGGTGTAGCGACATCAGGAACACGGGCAGACTGGACAGCACAGAGTTTATGAGGGTGATTCTAC